TATTGTCCTTACCTTCAGTTTTTGGTGAAATGTTTATCTTTTTAAAAGGAAGAAAGTAATTTCTCTAAAATTACCAGCTGAAAAATTCTTGAGACAATTGAATCGTAGAAAAGATACAAAATGGAATTACAGGTTTTTACCTGCAATCATTTGGAACTAACATTTCTGCACCAAATCAAATACCTCCTGAGGCTTAGAGGCATCCAGATTTATCATGGCAGTCAGTAGTATCATTTACTGAATTATCAAGACCTTGAGACAAGGTAAAATTATCTCTTAGTTTCCAATGAAAACAATTCAATCCTTTAAAAAAATGATCAAGGCCTCGTTCTTAGCCTTGAAAAGGCTGTGATGGGTATTACAAGCTGTTGTTGTAGTTCTTAGTGTTTTTCCCACAAGGGTTTCATAATCTACTTGTTTTTGAACTGTGCTCACCTAGTTCTTATAGCAAAGCTATCAATGCATGACGCAATACGGGTTTTTGTTTTTCAGCCAGCTTGTTGTAGAGTCTGAAACTGACAAGAGCTGGCAGGGAATGACTGACCCAAGGCCACCCAGTGGGTTTCTGTGCCTAAGGAAGGACTAGTACCTGGGTCTCCCAGCTTCTAGTCCAGCACATTAACCACTGCACTACACTGGCTCTCTTAGGACAAGATTTGTTATGCTAGTAAAATTCAAGCCATTCAATTCATTACTACAAGTTTGCAAGTACTGTATTGACTTATTACAAGTTTGCAAGAACTGGTGATTTTTTTTACCTGCTGTATGTTGCTTTTGTCTATGAAAATTAGTACAGTCAGTATCGGGGATGGGAGGAATTTTATTTCAGTCTCTCTCCATAGAGCTTAGATTATAAATAAAGGAGACCAAGTAGTAGCTGCATCAGTAAAGAGAGTCCTTACAGGTAAACCAAGCATCTCTATATCTTGCAGCTGGTTCAGCTTTTTCCTTTAGAGGGTGGCAGGATGCAAGCATTTTGGCTTTCCACATCAAGAAAAGGAAAGGTCTCAAGAAAGTCCCAAAGACTGGGAAGGGCTCAAAAGATTGGTACTGGGGATGAAAGGACAGAACGAGTAAACTGGCCAGGATGTCTTCATGGCCTCCATCCTATTATGTAAATCTTCTAGGCTTCCCTATTGTTTAACTTAAAAAAAAAAAAAAAGAATAATTTAAGTAGGCAAAATGTCTTACAGTCAGCATTTAGCCATCCAGTTTATTTTTCTATTTTACACATAAATGATGTACACTAATATCATTATTTAAAATAATAATAATATTCCCACCTTTTTTATATATAACTCAAGGCGGTAAACATACCTAATACCCCTGCCTCCTTTTCCCCACAACAACAGCCCTGTGACATGGGTTGGCCTGAGAGAGAGTGACTGGCCCAAAGTCAGCCAGCCGGCTTTCGTGCCTAAGGAAGGCCTAGAACTCACAGTCTCCCGGTTTCTAGGCCAGTACCTTAACCACTACACCAAACTGGCTCTACACTAAAATGTACACTACACCAAAATACCCAATGTCAAATATTTTGTGGGCCCGAGATACTGGAAAATCCATCAGTGGACAATGCTTCCCATATTTCAACTTCTTGCTCAAAAATAGTAGAAACTTTCAATGATTGTCTTCTAGCGGTTAGTTTTCGGAACTGTATGCATCAACTGTGTTTGGACAAAATAAGGAAGACACAGCAATCCAAATCTTAAGGCTACCAGAACTGGGCTGCAACAGGTTTGACAACCACTGGATGGCAGCAAAGAGAGACAAATAACTCTCTGCTGCCATGCAGGGAACATCAGGTTTTGCAGTCTGGATCTGAGAGCTCCACAACAGACGGAACCTAGAAATGTTAATGGTTTGTGACACATCCTATTTTAGCAAATATCTAGAGACATGCAGTGGATTTATAAGCTTCTTCATACGACAGAAAGGTTTTCAATGTATTCATGCAGCAATCCCTCTAAATATCTGATTTAATGTAAAACAGATGGTGACAAGCCCTGGATAGCCACATCCAACTTTCTGAGTATCATGATGCTCACATATGGTGCATAAGCATCCATATAATGTATTCGATAGCTCTGTATGTCACTTGTATAATAAATATAAGTGACACAATTGGCTTATTTGCCTCCATTTAAAAAAGATTAATTCCAGAGCCTTGAATTTCCTAGAGCAGACTTATCTTCCAGAGATCAGTGTGTTCCATACATGAAACCTGAACAGTATAAAACACTGATGCAATTGGCAGAAATGTTAAAAAGAAAAAAGAAAGTTTTAGTAGAACGAATTATGCTGGTTCAGCCAATTGTTACCAGGAATGACTTTTAACTGAAAACTTCAACCCAGGGACTGTGTAATACTTCAGGTTGGATTGGAAAAGGATGCTTTGGAATGTGTTGACACATAAACAGGCTGCAACTTGAACCCAGAATCAGGTGT